CCATTACACGAGTAAATCCATAAAACTAATTAAAAAAGTATGTCTCCCCTTCAACATAAATGCACTGCATGAAGATAGAATCTTTTGCTCTTGAAGGAAAAGAGAGAAGACTGTGAGCTGTCGTTTCCCTAAGGTAAAGGCGTCGTTTTGGTCTTTCTCTGAAACAGAAAAGAAGATGAAGATGAAGATGAAGAGTTTTGGAAGCATAAGATCGATATTCATGCACGCGGATGGTGTAGATTGGATGTTGATGGGATTAGGCTTAATCGGAGCCGTCGGTGATGGCTTCACCACTCCTGTTGTATTTTTCATCTCCGGTTTAATACTCAACGACATCGGTGGTTCCTCTTTCAATGATGGAACCTCCTTCATGAAAGCCGTCTCCAAGGTCTCCTCTCTCTTCTTTGCTCTTGTTTTTTTTTTTTGGCTTTTGATCCTATGTAACTAGACATGGCAACCAAGTTGGTTTTGATCCTATATTGTGCGATCTTCGTATTTAGATCGCCAACCGAAAATTCTTTTTTACAATGAGATGTATGAATTTGGGCTCAAAACTTCTAAATTAAATTTTAAACAAAAAAAAGTAGACATGACAAAGTAGACCAAACATAGTGTGGTACTTGATGGATTTATGACTTGCCATATTACAATAATATATACATGCATGTTATGAATGACAATACGTCTGTAAACCTAATATAATATACTAGATTAAGGTTCGCGTTGATAAACGGGTAATCATATAAAAAAATTATTCATATAAATTATTAAAATATTTTAAAATATTATTTAAACATAGATCTTAAATCAGTATATGTCAATTTTATCTTACTTTTCATGTTCTAATTCATATTATATGGATTCTAAAATATATATAACTGTAATTCAACTCATATTCTTAGTAACAAAAGAAAAAAATTACTATATTCTTACCCATAATGTATATATATATATATTAATTATGTGATAAAATCGTAAAACAATTTAAATAATGTAGTGTTAATTTAGAAAAGAATAAATTTTATTTTAATAATCTTATAAAACCTATAAAATTATTTTAATAGTAAATATATTGTTATTATCTTCTTAACTTGTATAATTTGCACTTTATCTAATTTCTTTTTTAAGAACATTGAAAGTACCAATATTGTCTTTAAGTCGAAAATTTCCATTTTTGTGTTTATAGATTTTTGTGTTCTTTGACATGGTTGTGCATACCTTAAACTTTTAAATTTAGATGTCCATACCCTTTCTAATTATTTTTTGTTTTTATGTTTAAATATTCTATTGTATATTCTCTCTAATTTTTTTTATTTATATTATCTCACTACTTTTTTACGACTTATATTCTCTCGATTTTATTTTTAGTTTTTTAATAATTAGTTTAGACTATTAAAAATTTTAATTATTTTTTCCTAACTAGTTCAGACTATTAGGAAAATTCTTGTTTTTCTAATTAATTTGGACTATTATAATTTTTTTTTTTTACAATTTGGTTAGTTACTTAACAATTATTTTCTTAGGTTTTCATTTTTAATTTTA